AGCAGCGTCTTACGTCAGCGGCGGCACTGAACGCGGATCCACAACAGAACCGGAAGACACACACACACACACACACACACACCAGACACACGTCAGCAGCGTCTTACGTCAGCGGCGGCACTGAACGCGGATCCACAACAGAACCAGAATACACACACACACACACACACACACACACACACACACCAGACACGTCAGCAGCGTCACTGAACGCGGATCCACAACAGAACCGGAAGGCAATACAATGCTGAATAAAGTCGTAGTTTTTGTTATTTTTGAACCAAAATGTATTTTCGATGCTTCAAAACATTCTAACTAACCCACTGATGTCACATGGACTACTTTGATGATGTCTTTATTTCCTTTCTGGACAAGGACAGTATACCGTACATACATTTACAATGGAGGGACAGAAAGCTCTCGGACTAAATCTAAAATATCTTAAACTGTTCTGAAGATGAACGGAGGTCTGACGGGCTTGGAGCGACACGAGGGTGAGTCACTAATGAGATAATTTTCATTTTTGGGTGAACTAACCCTTTAAACTAATCCATTTGAATTGAGAGGTTTAGTCCAAATTCTCTGAAAAGACTTGATCGCTTTATATGACGAACAGATTTAAATCAAGTAAAATGTAAGAATAAAAGCTTATGTTTATATATTCGGCTTATATTCTTATATTATATTTTATTCTTATATACTTCTTGCAGTGTCAAAGTGGTAGTTGCGTAGCTGTCAATGGAGGGACAGAAAGCTCTCAGATTTCAACAAAAAGATCTTCATTTGTGTCCCGAAGATGAAGGAAAGTCTTACAGGTTTGGAACGACATGAGGGGGGAGAAATGAATGATAGAATGACAGAAATAAACTATCCCTTTAAGTACATCTTCGTTTGTTTTTAATGATTACATCTATTGTCTTTGAAATATCGTTAAGCGTACTGACAATAATTTATGGTAAATTAAAATATACTAATTTCTATTGATGCTTGTGTGTAAATATATTTGGAATTGCACATTTGAAATTATTAAATCTTTTAGTACATTTAATTCGTTAATATATTAACTTTAAATGTAATGTTGAAAAACACACTACAGTTAAGATTATAATGAAGTACTTTACAAGTGCTTTAGTCAACAAACTAAAATAGGTGTACCTCTTTAAAATAAAACTTTTAATTTGACAGTTACAAAGTGCACTTTTTCAGTGTGTTAAGTAGAAACAGTCAAGAAAATGTACACTTAAGTGGCCTTTTATTCTAACATATTGGCAAGTCTTTTTTTATAATATACTTTTACAAAGTACACTACAAGTGTACATTCAATACAATTAAGCACACTGTTTTGTCACAAGGGTAACATGCATCGAAGTGCATGATGGGTAGCTTTTATTGTCTTTTTAATATAACGATGTTTGGTTAATTGTATAAGGTAAATGTATATCAGGAAACTGGTCACACTTTCTGTTTCTAATGGTTCTGCGATGTTAACAGTACAAATATTACATTTCTCTCAGATAACAAACATGCAAATTAGCACGCATATTCGACTTCTAATTCAAATTAAAACACAAGAATGGTACAAGAACAGTTTTGGATTAGGAATAGCATGTAAGACATTGCTGTCAACCACCCTGTAGCAGTTTAGCTCGTAAAAATGGTTGTATTTTCAGTTGCTCAGCACATTTTTCACATATTGATCACGGTCAGGTTTGCTGGCAAAGTGAACAGATCGTAAGATGCAAACAAAATAACCTGCAACGTTTCATCAGTCAGATATAATGTCGTGTGTCAAAATCTAGTGAGCTGCTATGACGCCTCATAGCAGCTACATTAAGATCACTAGGTTTCGAGACACTGATTCTCCAATCTTAGATGTGGTTTAGGATTCAAGGCAAGCTCAGACCTCAAGTTCAAGCAGCTGGATCAAGTTCTCAGCTAAAATCTCCTCAGTGTTCGTCGTGACATCCATCGGCGGGGATCCACATACTGCTTAAATAACCGGCGGGGGAGAGAGACGCGAGTCTTCACCGTTTCACTAGATGATGATGATGATGATGATGATGATGACAACAACAACACCTCACCCGGAAGACAACACACTGCTCTTTTCCCTGTGCCCGCCCGGCGTCATCAGGCAGCCGATGGAGCTTCACTGCCACCTCGCGGTCGAAACACGGAAAACATGCGTCACTGCTCAGCATCACAAGAGGGGTTAAACGGGTTTGTTCAACCAAAAATGATAATTTACTCACCCTCAAGCCATCCTAGGTGTGAATGGCTTTCTTCTTTCAGCCAAACAGAATCGGAGGAATTAAAAAATATCCTGACTCTTCCCAGCTTTATAATGGGAGTTAATGGTAGCCTACCACAGATTTTGAAGCCCAAAAAGTGCATCCATCCATCATAAAAGTAATCCATGCGACTCCTGGGGGTTAATAAAGGCCTTCTGAAGTGACGCCATGGGTTTTTGTTTTTTTTAAAGCAAAAATATATTGGTTTGTATGGGCTACTGCCCCTTTAAATGCATTGCTCTGCTACATCATTGCTCTGATTATAACATTTTAGTTTTAAGTATGATGATGGGCTCCGATTCCAATAACCCAGCCTGAGATAATAAAGGCTAAATAAACAATTACCATATGCTTAGCAATGATTGTTACTCCACATTGTTCAGCAGTTTTATAAGAAAGGTGACCCCGACAGACACAGCAAGTACATTTAGCTTGCATTTGGACCACAATTCTCTGAGAATTGCAGTAAACGGCAGTGATGTAAATGTAATGCTATTGCAAATGTTGAAATATCGGTTGTTGTATATCCTTCTGAGCAGGGCCGTAGCTAGAGGATTCGGGGCCCCCTGAAAAAATATTGATGTGGGCCCCCACCACCCTCCACCATTATCATATACTGTACAATAGATGAACATGGAGGCCCACATATAACAGAAGATGGTGATGTTGTTGTAAAACCTTTATTTTAAAAGTTAAATGTTTATATAAAAATGACAACTAATAAAAAATAACAAAAAGCAAGAAATTGTTAAATAATAATAAAACCAATTTTTAAAAAGTAACACCCCCCCCCCCCATCAGTCTGTTATAATTCATAAATCAAAAAGTAAACATTTAGAAATTGACAAGAATGCAGTCTAATTAAAAAAATAAAACCATTTATTGCCTTATTTTTTGATAAAGATAATATGGAACTGGCAGAGGTGGGTAGAGTATCCAAAAACTACTCTTAAGTACTTATAGAAATATTTACTCAAAGTAAAAGTAAAAGTAATAATCTTAAAAGTTACTTGAGTAAGAGTAAAAAAGCATCCAATGAAAAAAAGTAGTTAGTTACTAGTTACTTTGGATCATATAGGCCTATATATATATATATATATATATATAGGCTATATATAACATGATATTATTTAGATATTTTTTCATTTAAATTACTAAAATTATCATAATTAGATAAGCTATCTTTGCAACAAAAACAGAAGAGACTAACATTATTTCTGTATATCTGTATATTATATCTATAGCCCGAAAACCATTGCCTGTCCTTTGGTTTGTATAATAGTATAATAACTTATACAACTACATTTGGGTTATTAGACAATGTCGGAATAAAGTGACTCTATGGAGTTTTGCATTCAAATGTAAAGCGATGGCAGTCATGTCATGCCCAACACAAACAACGATCAAATGCAAGGATCTTCTTCTGTCTGTTCTCCAAAATGTATTTAAATGTAGGCTATATTTATGAAAGCATCTTTAAACTGGTTAACTGAGTCTAATAAGGCAGGCAAAGGCATTCGTTTTCAAGTCGAGTTCGCACGCCACTGCGCAATACACACATTGTGTGTGTACACACACATTCATAAACTGGACGATGATAGCTTATTTAATGTATAAAGTAATGTATATGTCCAAAAAAAGGGTAATGTCATACTTTGTAGTAGTGCTATATGGCGTAATAATCTGTTTGGTTGTAAAATGTATTACCTTGTCCTGAATGAAATGAAATCGAATGTATCGTCGTGTGGAATAATTCATTCACAGACAGCTTACGAAGTAACATAAGAAGATGTTCAACTAATAAAGATCTTCATCGCTGGCAAAAAAATATGATGCATTTGCAGATTTACTTTCTAGACTGTACTGTAGACTGCCACTTGATACAACGCTCTTGATGTTCTTAAATCTTCCTGTTACGACTCCGAGACGATTCAGTGCGTGCAGGAAACTGAACAGATCATTCAAACTGATTCGCGAACCGATTTAGACAGATCTGCCCAACTTGTTTGATGAAGTCTTTGAACAGAATCGACTCAAAAGAGTGATTCATTTGTGAATTGAGCATCGCTCATGCCCAGAAAAAAGAAAGAGCGCGCGCTTAGAATAAACTACGCTTTTAACAACATATTGCATTAAAATAAAGTAACGAGAGGAACGTCGCCCAACGTAACGACGTAAAAGTACAGTTTTTTCATTAGAAATGTACTCGAGTTAAAGTAAAAGTACCCACAATTAAATGTACTCTTAAAAGTAAAAAATTTCCAAAAAAATACTCAAGTAAATGTAACGAAGTAAATGTACTTCGTTACTATCCACCTCTGGGAACTGGTAATATTATTAAATAAAGCGAATACATTTATTCATCCAAGTGCAGTGTGCTGTATTCGTGTTTTCTCGATGTTTTAAATATCATCAGCCGGCAGGTCAGATGCATATTGCAATGCGTCGTGACTCGTGTAATTTTTTTAAAACTCTATTTACAATAGTGTAAAAAGACAGGAATTTAAACCACGTATTCATTCGGTCGATTGTGGCGCGCACCGATAATAAAAAATGACTGTACACGGCAGACTGTAGACGGAAGTTTTCTAATTCCCAGCGAAATAACAATATATAACCGGTCTTTAAGAACGTCTTGATCGACTAGGATACAACCACTCTCCTTGCCTCCCTCTCCGTCTTTTCCTGGCATTTCTGGTACCTGATTTATGTTTTCTTTTCCCCGACATTTTTCAGTCAGTCAGTCTCCTGCTCTTCCACCAAGTTCATCGTTATCTTCAGGCTGCCGCCTCAACTCTGATTGGTTCTGTTCACGAGCTGGGGTGGGACTTACAATTTTATTGGGTCCATCTGATGTTTGTCACTGACTCTGACTGAATAATTAATACATACTTAAGGTCGGACTAAACCATTTTTATGGAGGTAAGAGAAGCAGATATTTGGAAAAATATTTACCCAAATTGCACGTTTTTGTGGTTTTCATTTAAATCTCAGGCATACAACTAATATAAATATTAGAATTATTCATACAACAGGGGCCTAAATAGTATAGCTGCTGGATTTTGTGGGGCCCCCTGGGCAGCGGGGGCCCCTATAATTGTCACCACCTTTCACCCCACTAGCGACGGCCCTGCTTCTGAGACCCAGCAATTGAGTTGTTTCGTCTGTAGAGGACATTACAGTATATTTTAGCAAATCTCTTTGACATGTAAGCCACAGTTTTAAGTCTGGATGTCCTGTAAAGAGCACAGGCTTAAAATGCTTATCAGGCATTTTAAAGAGACATAAGGGAACAAAATATAGATTTCTATGAAATATGAGATATCATGGAAATGTTGCCAAGTTTTTACTCTCATTATATAGCAAGCAACTTATTTTTTCATTACATGTTGCCCAAAGAACACATTAATATGCAAATACAGAGACAATGAATACATTATATGCACCGATCCACATTTTTTCACTTCCGATCCGATCCCGATACCTGAATTTGGATTTCGGCTGATACAGATTCTATTCTATGGAAGTAAAATAATCCCAAATGTTTTTGAAACAAAAAGCCTGTTGAATTGTACTACTTAAAAAAAATATGCATTGCATTAACCCTGCTTGTATTTTAATGCATTTTATTTTTAGGGCTTGAATTTTATAGGCTGAAATTTAGCATGGTTTAATATTTAAGCTGTGAATATTTCAAATCAAATCATTTCAAACACATTTTCATTAGTAAAATTTCAATAATCCATATTCACCTTTCATATTTCATATCCCAAATATTCAAACTGATTAAAAATACAACCTATAATATTCAACAGGCGGTTTTCGGTCCATTTTATTTCGCTTTGCAAATTCGCTTCCACAAATTCAGTGGTTCAAATTCGACAGTAAATTCAACATTGACATCCAGGAGCTGCAGGAAAAGTAGTAGATTACCGAGCATAATCTCCATCTGCTGTTAGTCGACCACACCAGCAGGGGGTGCCAGCGCGTGTTGTTGACGAAGACCAGAGCAACAGTTAGTGCAAGCCATTCATTCATAAAAACTTATTTGCAAAAATGTAAGTGTATTTGTGATTATTATGACGTCTGTTTTATGTGAAATTCAGTGTGTTCACGATTACTTTTCCTGTGTAGCCTAAGTTACATGCATCTTTCTCTACCATGGACGATAATGTTATTCCCCCGATGCGGATGTACAGATCCAGTGTTACATTTGACATATTTCTCTTGGTTGTTTAGTTGCCTTAACCTTATATTGCAGCGATGTGCTGCATGCAGTACTAGGGTTTGGTTTCCCTCAATATGTCAGGATTCCCCTGCTGGACATATAAAACGCTTAACGTAACTTAATGGACATAAAAGACCAAACTCGCAGGCTAGCAGATGGACTCAGAATATGAATTTAACGCGCAAAGTTTAATGCTGAGCGTTTCCCAGTGATATACTGGCATAAATTTGGTTTGACATTGGACATTCGCACATTTAGGGACCGTCTCTAAAGTTACATACGAAATTGGTATACACGTTTCTAACTTAAATACCATTTGAAAAGAACGACTTACAGTCATAAATTCAACTGTAAAGTGTTCATGTAGGTGTCAGGCTCAGGCATAATGCACAATTTATTCAAATAGATTGAAGTTTGCTATTGAAGTTAGAAACGTTTAGGCCTATAGGACTTGTTACTTTAGAGACGGTCCCTAAATGTGCGAATGTCAACCCAATTTTACATTTAGTCTTTTAGCTGGCACTTTTATCCAAAGCGACTAGTTAAACTAACAATATAGAACAACAATATGAAAGT